TTACGAAGAATAATAATTGAATCTTGTGAAACAATAACACATATCCAGTGCCATACTGCCACTGCTGCTGTTAAAGAAAGATCCAAAGCCTTTCTTAATGCTTAAGGAAATCACTTTGAACAACATTTAATATGAATTTAATGTTTACCTTTAATTAATAAAGTAGGTAGAACAAATAAATAGGTTTTATTTATTTCATATAACGTAAATAATTCATAACATCGAAAATCTTTAGGTGTGAATATCTCCTAAACAAAGCGTTGGCGGATATACCTTCAAAGGAGATTTTTTTCTTGTTTTGAGGTCCTCAGTTCATTTTTGCAGTTTGGCTACTTAACACTGAAACACCCTGTATAGTTAAGAATAGGAAAAAAAAAAAAGGAGTGTCATTTGTGGCCACAATAGTCCAAGGAATTTATTGTGCCCAAAATACTTGCGTTTAAGGTACCTAGTTGCACTTTAAAACTACTTTATATAAAAAAGTTATCATTTTTTTTAGAAATTAAAATTTTTTATTTTATTTTTGTGAGGAAAGCAATAATGAAAAGTGGGCACCGTGGATATATTTTTAAAACAATTAAAAAAATATAATTTATTCCACCAATATTTTTTTAATGATGAATTTGTTAAGGATATGATAATTTACTAACAAATAAATATTCATATATTAATATGGTTAAGTTCTTGTCTTTTAAGTCTAGAATGTGGGTTCCATGTTAGTTTTCGGTCTAAGAGAAAGCCAAGATACCGGACTGTGTCTGTAAAAGGAAGCTGGGTGGAATTGAAGTGGACTGATGGACAGGATCTGCGCCGAAGTGTGAGGGTAATGTGTTTGGATTTGGATTCGTTTACTTTGATGCGCCATTTATTGCACCAGTGCTCAATAAGAGAGAGGTGCCTTTTCAGATTTAAAGATGCTTTTTCGGGATCTGAATTGGATGATAGGATGGCGGTGTCATCAGTAAATGTTTCCAGGAAGGTATCGGGATGGACTGGGATATCAGCGGTAAAAAGCATATAAAGGACGGGGCTACCTTGAGGAACACCGGCTTCAACTGGGTAGGAATTGGAAAATTCAGTACCACAACGAACTCGAAAGGTTCGATCAGAGAGGTAGGAGAGGAGGATTAGGTACAAGGACTGAGGTAGATGGGTTTTCAGCTTGAATAGAAGCCCGGCATGCCATACCCAGTCAAAAGCGCCGACAAATTAGAGAAAGAAAATAGTTGTTCAACTGGTGGAGTGTTATATTTTATAAAAACAATTTATATCACATGTAGCCATCCAGGCTTTGTAAATATTGACTTCTATCTTGTAAACATTTTATGGCTTCAATTTAAACCTTTTCAATTTAATATTAGAATTACTATCAAATACCACTAATAAAACTCTCTAAGCCATAGATTAAGAAAAAAAAATTATATCAGCTAATAAAAAAATATTTATAAGATAAAACCGCTCTCTGAACTCAAATACCAATCACAATAGTTAACTGATTGTAAATAAACAGGATATGATCGACTCAATACTCAAACCCTACATCAACTTCCTTCCGCAGCTATAATATTTCTCATGTATATTTGCAATTTCATCCTTACAACGACCCACTTTCCCGTCATATGGAAACTCTCTAATCAGATTCTATTTCAAAAACGATATAAGCCTTCCTAAAACTGTTTCCTATTGACCGATTAGCCTACTTCTGATCCAAAAAGAATAAATAAAATATTTTCTTAAAACATATCCTATCCATTGAATAAGTACAAAGTTTTTCCGATCGCCAATTTGTATTCCATTGTAGGCGTTTAAAAGTCTAACTAGACTTAAAAGACAATGCATTAATAGAAAAATTGGCCAACTATATCACATAGCTATATCTCAATCAGCACCATCAAAATTATCCAATCCTTTGAAACAATCACTTTTTATACAAAAAATGTTTCCAATAACGGCTTGTTATAACGAGCGTGTTAAAGAGTTGCCCGTATCTACATTCTCGAGTCTATTCGAAGGATCAAATCTGGCCTGAGCGAGTTGATATTCTTTTCGTGGTGGACCCAGGGAATAATCTCGACCTTCGGATCCGTTTAAGTTTGGTTATACCTCTAAAGGCTCATACACACATATCGCGGTACGATGTTACGTTACAATACCGCTCGAAACTCACAACAATTCCTGATCCGGGGCAGACACATACAGGGCATTACTTTGAAAGCGATAAAATTGTCCCATAGCTCTGCCTGGCCTAGTCAACTAGAGTTCCTGCTTCCCGCAAATTGTATATTACCAATTTTTATCTAATTCATTTCTTTCTATAAGAAATGAGTAGTTCTGACGAGGAGGCACTTTTCATTATTTTAGTTCTTCAGAATACAAATAAAAATAGAAAATGGGTTCATGAAATCAAAAAGCAGAGATACTGATAGGTAGAATACCATCGTCTCTGCCGTCTGCTCCAATTCGCAATTAATCTGTTGACCCACGCGGTAATCTCGACCTTCCGCTCCGTATAGCATAGGTTTGGTTATACCCCTAAAACATCTACCCTCACTAACGGATCCACGATTTAATTTTGGGGGCTTCAGTTCGAAAGTTTTTTTTGTTTTTTAATGTATATATATATAACAATTATTACTTTGAAAGAAGAACAAAGAAACTAACTACCTTTATGTGATTCTTGAAGTCCTATTGAATGTTATTACACGAACAATAATACTTTTATAGATAATATTTTTTTTCCTAAAACATGGTTGTATTTTTCTATTTTAGAGGCCTTTTGCTTTTTGCCAATTCAGGCCGAAAACTCCTCTCTCCTCCCCGCAGATCGTCCTGTGTCCTCCCTCCCCCTCAGTATGCCAGAAATGGCGAAGTAAGGGTAGGCGAAAAAACAAAAAAAATTTCGAAAACATAACGACCATTCGTATCCGTGATGCCCTCGACCTTTTACTGACCAAATTTTCAAAATTTCTCATGAATCTTTGGAATAACCGCTTTCCTCAAGTTAAATCCTTATCTAGCTTTACTCATCCCTATCATCCACCTATAAGGTAGTGACAATTGTGGCCATCTGTTTTACAATAAAACAAGTTAAAGATTTTGATTATTATTTTCTATAAATATGTATAATCATATAATCACATTTAGTTATTGCCAAAGCTTGAAAGACAAGTCAATAAACAAATCGTAGTAATAAAAACAAAATAGACAAAACATGGGAGAATAAACACGAACGTTAAAATTGCGCTCCGTTTACTTTGGAAAATGATTTAGTCTAAATATTATTAAATATATAGTGAATTTGTTTAAAAATGATGATTAATTAAAATAATAACAAATTTGACATCTTAGATTAAAAATAAAAAATAATTTAAATAAATTTGTGAATAAAAGTCGGAATTGTGAACAATCCGGTCGGGACAGAAACTTTCTTCTTATCTTATCTTACATCATATAATCTCCCTTGTTTTCTCGTGTAAGCTGTTGTTATCTTTCTGTTACATGTTAGTTATTGCATTGTTTATTTTTTGTCATCTGTTGAAATGGATATTATTACACCACGGGAATTGCCGTCTTCAGAAGAAGAAGCTATAAATTTTTTTTTTTTCAAAATTTCGGTATAATTCCAAAGGTGAAATTCTGTGAAGAAAGTCATGAAATGGAGTTTGAGAGGAAGACCAAATGGAGATGTTTTCGTAGCAGTTGTAACAAAAACGTATCTATAAGAAAAGGTACGTGGTTAAACGGGTCAAAGATTACCTTTTCAACGGTTTAAAAATTGATTTAGGTGTCGTCTCATAATTTAACAACAATGCAGTGGGGCAAAGAGCAAATGTAACCATCGAACAAAAGTGTAATAATGTCGAACAAATTTTAAGAGATGTTTGTGCCCATAACATGCTATACAGGTCAACTAAAAAGATTGGAGGGCCTGGCAAAGTCGTTGGAGTAGACAAGAGTCTTTTTTTCTAAACTAAAAAATCACGTAGGGAGAGTACTCCCTGAACAATGGATGTTTGCCGAGAAACAGACGAGTGTTTCATCGTAAAAATAAAGGATAGAAAGACAACAACTTTATCAGAATGTATTAATAATATGTTGTAAAATAAATGTGTTTTGTTATTATTACATTTGTTTTTGTATATTTCAATTGTCATAAATATGGCATTTGTTTATGTATATTTCAATTTCCATAAATTTGAAAACGAAGATAGAGATCATTAGTGCATTATCAGTGTTCAGGTTATAAACATTGGCAGATAGCAGTCCATCCCGACCAAATTGTTCATAATAGTGTTGCCCAAATTTGAGACCGAGACGAGTCTTGGTATTGCTCAAGTGTCTCGCAACAGTCTTGCAGTCACTTAGTCACTTATTAGTTTAGTACTGTAGAGATATTACTGTGTTTTCTTAGATAGGAGAAACCTAACTAAGCCCGAATGAAAAATTAGAGGAATTAAATGCAAAAGTACATAGGTTATACCAATTATTAACACATAGTAACTAAGATTGTCAAGTATTAGTTACTATTTTACCTTAATTTTTATTTTAAAAAATCGATTTTTTTTACCAGTCCTGGTTTTGGTTTGCAACAGTTAGGCAGCCATGGTCCTGGTCTTGCAAAGTGGAATTTTGGGCAACACTAGTTCACAAGTACACGAAGGTCATTTGAAGTTTAGAATAAATGCAAGAAATTAAATAAAAAATAAATGTGTTTGTTTTAGAGCTTAATTTCTCTTTAGTATATTTATATGGCATTTATAATAATGGACCAATAAGAAGAGATGGGCGTTGCTTCTGATGTTACGTCATACTGCTAGATCATTGGAAGGTGTAAACACAACAGTTTTTACTTAGTTTTCGGTTAGTACTTTTCTATATTGTTGGTTAAATATTTTTCTTTCTGCTGGTTCACCACTTTCTGTTTTTTTTTTTTGTTTCTGAATAGTATTAAAATCTCATAAGTGAACGTAAAAATGAGTGAAGAAGCCTCTTCATCTGGAATGGAGAAATCTAATTTGCAAGATACCAATGAAAGTTGTGACGAAGAATTGACTGAAGAAGAGGAACTGGACTTGAATAATATGGACAGTTATTTTGATGCAGAAATTGGGGATTTGGTAAAATCCCAGTTTTGCATTCTAAAAAAACTCGGCCAGGGCCAATTTTCGAATGTTTGGTTGTGTCGGGATATTTTAAAATCTGAATACATTGCAATGAAAGTTATCAGAAGTAAAACATTCTACAGGGAATGTGGGCATCATGAAATAAATATGTTTAAAAAGATTCCTTCTACTGATCCTTCAGATCAAAGATGTGAAAGATTAATGAAACTTTCAGAAAACTTTATAGTACCAAGCAAAGTTGAAGGCGTTCACGTATGCATGGTTTTCCAAACAATTGGTTATGATTTACGCTCATTCATCCAAGAAAGATATTCCGAAGGAGCTCCACTATTTAAAGTCAAGAGCATAATTCGACAAATTCTGGAAGGGGTTGATTATTTGCACTCAAAATGTGGAATTATACATACTGATCTCAAACCAGAAAATATATTAATTTGTCTTGGTGATGATGATATTAGAATGATAGTGGATTTCGCCAATATGCAAGAAATAAGGCCTGAAAGTGGAGAGGATCAAATTAATAAAAATGCTGAGAGTTCTTTTGGTAAAATTCAAGAAACTGGCAATGAAAATGCATCTGGGTCTGGTGCTGTTTCTGGGGATATCCAAACAAAAAAATTCAAATCACGTTCACCTGTAGATTGTACTCCTAGACTAAATATATTTTCAAGAGGAGACATAAAGATCAAAATTACTGATTTTGGTACTAGTTGTACAAGGTCAGATATACTTTCATCTCCAATTCCAACTAGCCCTTATACATCACTAGAAATGTTAATAGCTGCAGACTATGGGCCTCCTGTTGATATATGGAGCATAGCTTGTATAGCATATGAGCTAGCTACTGGAGATGTTTTATTTTATCCACCTTCTTTCGACGGTGTTTCAAAACATGAAATTCATATTGGTCTCATGATACAACTACTTGGAAATATACCCAGAACAATTCAAGATGCAGGATTGCTGTCACCTAAATATTTATCAGAATCAGGAGACTTAATAAATGTTGATACATCAGAGCGATGCTCCTTAGATCAAAGACTCGCCCTACTAAAAAAATGGAATATTATGCTAGCATTTCCGTTTGCAGATTTTTTGTTAAGTATGCTGAAGTATGATCCTACGAGAAGGCCTACTGCTTCTGAATGCCTTCAAGATCCTTGGTTAAAATTATAATTGTTATAACAATGGTTCTATAATTTGCAACTTATGAATTGCAATATATAATTATTATTATTAATTTGGCCTCTTCTACTGTGAAAGGTTCCTGGTTGTAGAGCCTGATCATAGAGTCTCGATCCTGTACAAGTTTATTGCGCCTGGTACATATATATATAATATAATTTGATGGATTTATGATTTTTTTGTAACAACATTTCTGTGAAATTTTTATCATTTACTTTGAACTTTAAGCTTTCAGTAAAGAAATTAGCTCAAATTTTCACTTTAGCAATAATTTTCATATGAAAATACAAAACTTATTGATACTTAGTTATGTCATAAAGATGAAAACATTTATTGTTTTGTACTTATAGTTCAAAATTTATAAATATATACTCATATAGATTTTAAATAAATCATTTACAAGATTTTCAGTGTAATATGTAGTTAAAATTGTATTTAGCTCATGTAATGTGTTTCTAATAATATTACAGATAATTGTTTTAATAGTGCAAATTTAATTTAAATGATTATTTGTAATAAACAATAATTTGGAGTAACAAGCAATACCACTGAAGTAAATAAACGTTACAATTTCATATGATGAATTATTCTATAATAACTGCTTTGTCCATATATTTAGTACCTCTTTGAAGATTTATTTTAATATATAATTAACTACCTTATAGTATACAGTTGATGTTCAACACCTACAAGTTATAAGTTTATCATTTACAAAACTTTTATTGAAGATAAGTTGTTTGGGGTGTTTAGTAAAAATAAACAAATTTATTTATTTTAATTTTATATTTTGATTGAACACCCCAACCAACTTTGCTTTAATTATTTACGGCTGTCAATCATCTATCCACTATCAAGAAGACTTTTATGCTCATTTAGGTCTAACTAGTAGCAAGCCATCCACAAGATCAGAAATAAGAATAATTAATTTCAGGAGCTACTAAGTTTTATAATAGTAATTGATTACTAGTTCCTTCAATGTTAGTTTACTTTTTTAAAAACTTATTTACAAGTAGGTGTTTATAATAAGTATTTAAATGCTAAAGAGTGTTAAGAATGGCAAACTTTTCTGTTTGGATATTTAATTATGAAATTCAAGCATATATTTGTGTGTGTTTTTTTTTATAACTATTCATTTTTCAAGTTAATTAATATCTTGTTAGCCCTCTTTAATATGTCTACTATCCATTCTTTAAAAATCAATGGAAATGAAAATCTTGATTTGTAGAGATGTTAATGGCATAATTTATTTTTTCTCATTTGATTAACTATGAGTGCTTCTTATAAGAAAATAATACTATATTGAAAATTATTAAGACTATGAAAATAAATAGTCATTAGTATAAATGAATCTGAGAAAAATAGAAATAGCACTCGAGTGCTTAACGATGTGGGAGTAAGACAAATGCACTAGATACATTTTTTTATGGATTCCAAAAAACAATGTTGATTACTATATCAGTTTTACTTTTTTAAACTTGAAAAATAACAAGATAATGTGCCTGTTCCTTATAACTAATCAGATTTTAATTTTTTTATAGAACTATCCATACTAATTTTTTACTTGTTAACATAACCATGGAATATATCATCTTTTTAAACAATGTAATCAAATTTGTTAACTACTTCAACCTTTGTATGTGTATCATTCGTTCAATGTTTTATTTTCTGCCAAGTACTAGAGCTATATGCTTGTTGAAAAGGTCAATGATTGTCCTTCATAAAACACAATGCTGGTAAAAATTACAGCAATTGATTTTACTGGTAAATTGTTGATAAATTTGAAAAATTAGGATTTCGAATGTCAATATGTGTATTCCTCTTACTTTATTATCATTGATCAATAGTTCTGGATTTATATGATTTCAAGAAAATAATGTGTAAAGTCACTCTTGAAAGTTTGTTTTATTTAATTCCTTTACCTGCTTCTGTTTTTATTATTATCAGTTGTGATAGCCTTTAGTCATTTATTTACTAATTAATTTTACTATAACTGTCAAATATTTTGTTGCATTTCCTAAGTTTGAGCCTTTAAACTAAACTTAATCTATTTAAGGTAACTAATGCTGTATGAATAAGCAGATAATTGCTTAGCTTTATAAAAAATTTAAATGGTGCCAAAATGTATTATAAGATAACAACTTGGAAATCCAATGTCATCACAATAATATACATTTTGGAATTTACATGATCTAGATCTAATAATGGCATTCTATATATTGAATGATAACTGGTAAACAATTCCGCTTATATTACTATACAAGACAGAAACCATGAGGACATACCACCCTCCAGTATTAGAATGGGATTGCTAAAAAGAAATAGTCTTGTGAACACTTCGATTGAAATAATTTTGAATTCAATTTGATGGTCGATTTGTCACTTAATTTTATTATTATTTTTTTTTTTTGTAAAGTGTATTGAGTGAAAAAGTTAACAGTAGTTCAAATTTACCAATTGAGGTATTCTCTAAACCAATCTTTTTGAGCTACCTCATTATTTGTGCCGAGAGGGATATGACCTATTACCTAGTATAAGAAGTAGTCACTGTATATTAAGGTTTAAACCTAACTATACACAGATGGCTTATATTTTTGAATTTCAATACAAGTGATTGACAACAAATGTTTGAAATGTCAAAATATGACATTTTATTTATTATTACATTATATTTTTTTTTCTATTTATGCTACATTATAAATAATCTACATTACAATAATCTAAAGGATAACTTAAAAATCACATTTATTAAAAAGTTAGATAGTTAAAACAATGTCCAATATCAACATCAGTATAAATCTAAAATTATCAATAGAACACATAACAAAAATAAATAAGTTTTATGGTTTTAATATTAATATCAAATCATATACTAAAATTAAATTACCAGATCATTTATATAAACAAAGAAACTATCAAGAGAACAAGACCCAAACTAATCTGTTTAACATTTATCACAATCCATTAAAACAAACAACCTACATTTTTATTTCAATACTCATAGGACAATATTTTAGATTACCCTACCAAATCTCTATAATTACATATATAAGAGATGGAAAAATATAATTTTCTCATATCTGCTATTGCAGTTGGCTTGAATATTTTGATCCCATTAAGATTTATGGCAGCTAATGCCATCGGAGTTCCATATGAAACTTTACGAGACGCCGTCAGGCGTTTTCGGGAAACTGGTTCTTACAATAGAAGGTCCGGTTCTGGATGGCCTAGGGTAACAGAACCACGGGATGACCGGTTTTTGACTTCGAGAATTTTACTGAACCGGCGCCTTACCGTTGTTCAATCGATTCATCAGCTCGAAGAAGTTCGAGGTGTGCAAATTTCTGAGCGTACCGCTCGAAGAAGATTAAATGAGTATGGATTAATGGCTTTTCGTCCAGTAAGAGGATCAGAGTTGACCAGAACTCAGAGAGTAACACTGCTGGCTTTTGCTCGAGAACACAGCCATTGGACTATGGACAAATGGAGTGCTCTACTTTTTACAGATGAGTCAAGATTCAATCTCCAGACGGGCGTGAAAGGGTGTGGAGAAGAAGAAACAAAAGATATACAGCCTGTAAATTTTCCCAGAGCCAACCTTTCCAACGTGGTTCCTTAATGGTGTGGGCTGGAATTTCAATGGAGCGCCGCACAGAATTGGTTGTTGTTCGTGGAGGGTCTTTGCCGGCCATTCGCTATGTAGATGAGATTTTGGAACCTCATGTGTTGCCTATCCTCAACGAAATCGGCGATCGTTCTATTCTAATGCACGATAATGCACGCCCACATGTCGCCCGCATAGTGCAGACGTTCCTTCAACAGAACAATATTGAGGTTTTAGCCTGGCCATTTTGGTTCCATAGAAAGTAAACATTGAAATCTAGAATCATTTCATTGAATTAAGGAATAAGGGTTATTGTCCTCTATATTAACATTCCTAATTGAGAACAAACAAAAATATTACCTATTTATTCATTAAAAACAATAGACCAATTCAAAGCAGAAATATTTTTAGATGAAAACATGAAAAAATCAAGTGGGTGGAATTTTTTGCCTTTCAGTGTACATTTGACATTTCAATAATAGGCGATGAAGTGTTTCTTTTTCCATTGTACATTTTTCACTCAAGTTGTTGATGAATTTTCAAAATTTGATTGTTGACTGAAATTTTAATCTCAAGTGTTTTCCCGAGAAGCGGATCTGCATTAATAATCTGGAATGTTTGATATATGCCGGCATCAGATACTGGAAGATCCTACCATTGTTAAAAAAAAGGTCAAATGTTCTCTGTAAGCTGAACTCTGCAATGCTTTCTTGTCAACCTCCTCCAAATGTCGTTTATATTTGTTTGATATCCTGTTTATATTGTCTCTAATTATGAGTGGGTCAGTTTCATAAACTAAATCGCCTTCCTCTATAGTATCTGACAGTACATTCAACTGAGCACACCAATTATATTTCAAAAGCACAGAATTAGATTGGTAACATTTGATTCTTAGATTTTCAAAACATATTTTAGGATATCTACATTCCTCCATTTCCACAAGCCTAACCAACCAAATCAAGGAATTCTTCATAACATCGAAACCAATATGAATAGAGCCTCTTTCTAAACGAATTTAAAAGTCTGGATTTACAAAGAGAAAATGTCGTTTTATAATAATTTATGTTGACCTTTTCTAAGAGGTCTATGTATCAGAGACTCCATACCTGAGCACAATATTACCAAAGCTGTATTAACGACAGCTTTTTAAGTGAATTTTTCCAGCAAGATTTGTGTAAAAATTTTCAAAGCATAGTTTCCGATAGATATATTTTTGTAATTTAGTGGATTTCCACGGTCTCCTTTCTTTGATATCATAACACTAAAAATTTCAGGCACCTCCTCTTCGTTCAGAATTTTATTGAATAAATTCTGTATATACATGAACCAATTTCAGGGAAGATTTTCGTATATTTCATATGTCATTGGGTTTTGTCATTTTTAACTTTGG